CCTGTCCCGATGTCCCGGAAGCTCCCTCTAGGCTCAGAGGTGCATCGAGCACCCGCCACCTCTGCAGTTCCCTATCCAAGCGTTGGAGGTGTGGGTCAAGAAGGTGCAACATCTGCTGCAAGAGGGGCGGCCAGCGAGGCCCCCGATCGCGGGCCGGTGGGCTCCTGGTCCCACTCGCACTGGCTGTACCTCGGCATGCCACCGCCGTCGCCGTCGTCGCCGTCGTCGCTGCTGTCTTCTCCAGCGAAGCCGCAGCCGTCGTCGTCGTCGTCGCCGCTGCAAGCCGCCATCGTCGCCGCCGCCGGAAACCGGCGTCGTCGCCTCTCTCTCTCTCTCTCTCATTATCGCTCTATCTTTCTCTCTCTCTCTCTATCTGTCTCTCTCCACATATATATATGTATCAGTAAACAGTATATGTAAATACTGTATATCGCACACGATGTTTCATGTTCTCTGTGTATAAAAACTGTGATGTCTTTGGCCAAGATCACACAACTGTATGTACATGTGTACGTGTATGGATATGTATGTACACATGTGTATGTGAACTTGTCTTTGTGAATGTATGTACACGTGTGCACGCGTATGTGTGATGTAGATGTATATGTATATGTATATGTATAGCTAGATATGGATGTAGATGCAGATGTATATGTAGATGTCGACGTATATGTATATGTAGATGTTGGTATAGATGTAGATGTGGATGTAGATGTAGATGTAGATGTAGGTGTAGGTGTAGGTGTAGGTGTAGGTGTAGGTGTAGGTGTAGGTGTAGGTGTAGATGTAGATGTAGATGTAGATGTAGATGTAGATGTAGATGTAGATGTAGATGTAGATGTAGATGTAGATGTCGATGTAGATGTAGATGTAGATGTAGATGTAGATGTAGATGTAGATGTAGATGTAGATGTAGATGTAGATGTAGATGTAAATGTAGATGTAGATGTAGATGTGGATGTAGATGTAGATGTAGATGTAGATGTAGATGTGGATGTAGATGTAGATGTAGATGTAGATGTAGATGTAGATGTAGATGTAGATGTAGATGTAGATGTAGATGTAGATGTAGATGAATATGAAGATGTAGATGTAGATGTAGATATATACGTGAATGTAGTTGTCGATGCTGATGTTGATATAGATGTACATCTAGATGCAGTGTAGATGTGAATGTAGATGTTGATGTCGATGCAGATGTAGATGCAGATGTCTATGTGTGTGTCTGTGTGTGTCTTTGTGTCAGTGTGCTTGTGTGTTCGTGTGTCTGCGTGTCTGTGTCTCTGTGTGCATGTGTGTGCCTGTGTGTGTCTCTATATGTCTGTGTGTGTGTCTGTGTGTGTCTGTGAGTGTCTGTGTGTGTCTGTGTGGGCCTGGGCGTGCCTGTGTGTGAGGCTGTGTGTGCATGTGTGTATCTGTGTGTCTGTGTGTCTGTCTGGGTATGTCTGTGTGTGTCTGTGTGTGTGTTTGTGTGTGTGTGTCTGTGTGCGTCAGTGTGTGTCTATGTCTGTCTGTGTCTGTGTGTGTGTGTCCGTGCCTGTCTGTGTGTGTGCGTCTGTGTGTGTGTGTGTCTCTGTGTGTCTTTGTGGGTTGTGTGTCTCTGCGTGTCTGTGTGTGGTTGAATGTGTGCCAGGCCCCCGTTTGATTCGTTATGTGTCGCTTCTGGCGAGGCCAACAAACAGATTCTGCCCGCCGACGCATCGAGCCCGCAATGTGCTCCATCGTTTGGGCCATGCCATGGGGCGTGTCCGTTCCAGGCAGGGAGTGCCACTCAAATCATCAAACATCCGGGAGAGGGGGGGGGGGGGCACAGCACCCACCTCCCGCGGGTGCCCCCCCGCCACCCCCCCGCACGCACATGTCATGAGACATGCTGGTGCGCTTCCCCCCTTTTCCAAATCGGCGCGCTGTGTCCGCTCCGTGGTGGGTGCCGGTTGTTCCCCCTTTTGGTGCTCCGACCATGCGTTGTCGTCCAAGCTTGAGCTGCGCATTTGGGACCGCTGCCGGATACAACAGTTGTTCCATTTTTCGGTCCAGCACCCAACCTGCGCCGCGCCGCGAAATCCTCTTCAAATACGCTTGCCTGAGAGAGAGAGAGAGAGAGAGATAGAGAGAGAGAGAGAGACCAAAATCAATACATAGAGAAGTGTTCCGATGCTCCCCCCCCCGTCTATTGTGCCCTCACATCCGTCAAGCTATGCGCATGGCCTTCTCTGTATCCGCATGGTCCCGTCTGGTACCACTGAAGTTCCTCGTGTATCCGCGTCCGCTACCGCAAGTTCCCCTCCGTTACCGCTATCCGCATAGTTCCTCTGTATCCGACGGAAGTTTCTGCTATTCGCACGGTTTCCTCTGTATCCGCATGGCTTCCTCTGCTATTCCAATAGCTTCCTGTATGTTTCCCAATGGCGCCCCACCAATCGCCCAACGATCGTCAAACAAATGTCGGCATGGCTTCCTCTGAATCAGCACTTTTGCTCTGGTATCCGCATGGCTCCCTCTGTATCCGCACGGTTCCCTCTTCCATTGCAGCATCTCCCTGTGGCTATCCCAATGGCACCCCAATAATCGCCCATCCGTCACCAAACTCAAAAGGTAACGTAGGCCAGAGCACGTTGGAATAGAGCACGGAAAAATAGATTAAGCAACCGAGAAAAGTAGAATAGGGCGGGTAAAACAGAGAAAGAGCAGAATAGCGTAGAGTAGGAGTGGAGTAGAACAGAGTGAAGTAGAGCGTAGTAGAGTAAAGCAGAGCTGGAGTGGAGTAGAGTAGCGTAAGGAAAATAAGGTGGGGTTTAAGAATAGAGCAGTAGTGGGACTAGAGTAGCACAGAGTAAAGTAGGGTAGAGAATATGAGCGTGAGGTTGAATAGAGCGGAGTACGTTCGGGTAGGGTAGGGTCGAGTAGAATAGGGTTGAGAAGAGCAGACTACAGAGAGCAGGTGGTAGAGTAGAGTCTACGTTGGAAAAAATGAAACACGATAGACTGGGCTAGAGCAGGGTAGAAGTAGAGCAGGTCAAATCTGAAGAGACAAGAAAAGAGTAGAGTAGGCGTAGAGCTGGGCAAGGTAGAAATACAAGACAGTAGCAAAAAGTATAATGTCATATAATATAGTAGAGCAGGGTCGGGTCGGCAGGGTAGAACGGGGGGTTGAATGGGCCAGAGCAGAACAGAGCAAGGTCGGTGGCAGAGCAGAGCCGGGCAGAATCAAATAGAGCAGAGCAGGGCTAGGCAGAGCAGGGCAGGGCAGGGCAAGGTAGAGGAATGCACGTCACAGCAGAGTATGAAAAAGAGCGCCCACAGGTGCCGCCAGTTACTCCCACCAGGGGGGATAGAACAGGCTTGCCGCCAACTCCGCCATCAGGCCTTCCGCGCTCCAGCCCCCAGCTGGGAGCCGGAGGCGAAGCGGGCGCGCTCGGGCCTAGCAAGGAAGCCGCCTGCGCAGACACGGTGGGAAACACGCCCATAGTAATATCTGCAAATGCTCAAGGCACGCAGGCCGCCGACCGCCGCGCTCGCCACGACAAACGCCTGCGCGGCGACGTCCTCCAGCTTCCAGATGACCGTGCTGGGGCAGTCGAGCTCGGCCCTGAGCGCGCAGGCCACCGCCTTCAGATCCACGTCCTCGCTAGCGCCCCCGACATGTCGAGCAGGTCCATGTCCCTCTGGGCCACCACCCCGCGAAGCGACCCGTCACGCCATGCCCCCCACCCTCCGTCGCGAGGACCGCCGCGCTCTTGAGCCGCCAGGGCACCGCCGTGGTCTCCACGAGCTGCAGGGCTACGGCGTCGCGCCCCACCGCGACGGCACGGGCGCCGCCCTCCACCTCCTCGAGCGCCGCGGTCGACGCTGCAAGGGGCACCTCCAACACCGCTGCCACGGCTTGCACCTCGCCGTCCTTGAGGCCGAGCGGCCATGTTCCGCGTGGCCTCCTCTAACTCGACCTCCTTCTGCTCCATGGGCCGCTTGCACTTGCTGCTTTGCTGCCTCCACCTCCAGCTGCTTCTCGCCCGGCAACTCCTGCCAGGTGGACTTCTGCTCGAGCTTGCCCTCGGCACATGCGAAGCCCGCCAAGGCAGGAAAGGCAGGAGAGTCCAGGAACTCCTCCTCCTCCTCCTCCTCCTCCTCCTCCTCGGCCTCCTCCTCCTCCTCCTCCTCGGCCTCCTCCTCCTCCTCCTCCTCCTCCTCCTCCCTCCTCCTCCTCCCTCCCTCCTCCTCCTCCTCCCTCCTCCTCCTCCTCCTCCTCCTCCTCCTCCTCCTCCTCGCACGCCTTTCCACGGCGCCGCGGGCCACGGCCGCGCCGACTGGCATCGCGCGCCGTGCCGGCCCAGTCGCGGCAGGCCTTGGCGCCGCCCGACGGGCGAAGCAGCTCCGCGGCGCGGTCCGCAGACATCTGCTCCGCGAGGAGCGGCCTCGCCAGACGCTCCCCGGCGCTGACCTCGTCTTCGACCACCGGGCCCGCTACCCCCATGACGAAGAACACATCCGCGCCCACGCGGATGGCGCCCGCAGCGGCGGCGGCCAGGTGCAAGCGCCATCCACCACCATCAGCCGCGCCCGCCGCAGCTGCCCGCACGAGCGGGGCAAACGCCGCAAGCGCCTAGCTGCACTCGACCGTCGCCAGTGACTGCGCCGCGAACAGAGCAGCCCTCCCCTACGAAAGAGACAGAGAGAGAGAGAGACACACGGCGCGTTCCTCACCTGCCTGGCGTAGAAGCAAGGCTTGCGCAAAAACTACGGATATGCAAGGTGTAGAGCAGTGTATAGTAGAGCAGGAGTAGAATGGAGCAGGTAGAGTCCAGTAGAGTAGTGTACAGTAGGATAGAGAGTAGAGGAGTATAGAGTAGAGAGTAGAGAATAGAGAGTAGAGAGTAGAGTAGAGTAGAGCAGAATAGAGTAGAGTAGAGTAGAGTAGAGTAGAGAAGAGTAAAAGTAGAGTATGAGCAGAAGTATGGGTAGAGTAGAGTGAGTATGAGTAGAGTAGAGTGTAATAGAGTAGAGTCCGACTAGTAAGAGTATATTAGAGTAGAGTGGGAGTGAGCATGAGAGTGGGAGTGAGAGTGAGAGTGAGAGAGTGAGGGCACTGCGAAAGAAATCAAAATATCAGAGTAATAGTACGAATGGGAATACGAGTAAAAGCAGTAGTAAGAACAATAATAACAAGAACAATAAGAGTAAGAGTAAGAGGGACAGTAGGGTAGAGTAAAGTAAAATCGAGTAGAGTAGAGTGGAGTAGAGCAAAATAGAATAGAGTAGAGTGGCATAGAGCATAATAGAGAAAAGTATAATGGAGCCGAGAACAGTAGCGTAACGCAGAGTACAATAGGTAGAGTAGAGTAGATCGGAATATAATAGAGTAGGAGTAGGAGCAGGAGTAAGAGTCCAGCTAGCCAGCTCGAGCGAGTCAAGCATGGCATGCACAATCCCACCCGCCCTCCCACGACATTTCAAACAATGCTGGCGCAACTGGGGACCCAAATCAGATCGGCAAGGTGGTTTGCCACAGCTGATGAAGCCGCGATGGCGGCTAATTACCGATTGGGAATTCCTGGCGCGTCTCAAAGACTGCGCTGGCATTTCAGCACGGGCGCCAGGAGGCCCCAGGAAGCCTCAGGAGGCCCCAGGAGATTGCAGGAAGCCCCAGCGAACCCCAGGAACCCCCAGGAGGCTTCAGGAGGGCCCAGGAAGCCCCAGGTTCCAAGAGGCTTCAGGAAGCCCTAGGAAGTGCCAGGAAGCCCCTCCCCAGGATACCTCAGGAGGCCCCAGGAGGATCCACGAGGCCTTTGGGAAACCCCAGAAGCCCCAGGATGTTCCAGGAAGCCCTGGGAGGCTCCCGGAGGCCCTAGGCGCTCGACGAATTGGCGAGCGAACAATGTGCACCGCGCCTTAGGGGGAGCAATTTTCAGAAAACACACGCGCGGCGCCGAAACGAGAGCGACATTTCGCCTTGTCGCGCGCGATGTGCACTGCGCCCCATTCCTCCCACGCATTTCGCGAAGCCGACAACAAGAAAGTCCTCGCTGAAAAAAACAAAATAATGTTTGAAAGGTTGGATGGCCCCTCCCGCTTGGGGTTGCCTCAGACGTCCGCACGCGATGTGCGTCGCGTCCCATTCCTGCCACGCATGTCGCATCGTCGACGACAAGACAGGCCATGTTGAGAGGAACAAAGCAGACATTGTATTGATCTTTCAAGGTCAGGATGGGACCCCCCGGATGGGCTTGCTATCGGCCGGACAGGGTGGAGTAAGAACATGTTCGAATACGGGAATGGATGGGAGTAGGAGCAAGAGTGGATTAGGAGTAGAGTAGAGTAGAGTAGAGTAGAGTAGGGTATGTTCGGGCAGGGTACATCCAGAAAAAGTAAAGTAGGGTAGAGTAGAGCAGACCATAATAAGGTTGATGGTGCAGTAGAATCGGGTAGGATGGAGTCGAGTATATTGGAGTAGAACAGAACGGAATAGATTCCACCCCAGTCTTGTCAAATCTACAGCAGCCTATTCCAGCCCGCTTCACTTCAATACTCTAATCTATTGGGAGTCAGCGCTGGCTGATTTTGTCTGCGTGCTCGATGCGTTCTCAAGACGTCTTCAAGTAACCCACAACCACCAGTAATGTTTGACACGTTTCGAAGACGCGTTCCCCCTGGCTGGGCCCTCCGTTGTTATGTCCGTTGTGGGCTCGCGCACGACACGTTGTCTACCCGCTTGGGGCGTGCGCTGTGCTTCCGCTTCTGTCGGCCGCAACCAGGTAAGCTGAAAAAACAATGCTCTTGAGAACGAGCAGGCCCTGCCCCCCCGCCCCCGCCCGCCTGAGCGCCCCTCCCCCGCCGCCCGCCCGAGCGCGGTCGCGGACGCGTGCGGCAGCGCAGCTACATTCTCCTCGTCGGTCATCCTCCACCTCTGCCTCCTCCCCCCCCTCTTGAGCAGGGACCGACCGTCCCCGGCATTCCTGCAGGCCTACCACGACATTTTCTTAAAACCCCCAACAATTTCGAAAACAAACAGTGCTCTTTGAACATAAGCATGGTGCGCTAAAACAAAGACAGTGTCGGCCAGAACTGTTCGAAGAACCTTTCGTGCAGACCACAAAGAAGTATCATAACATTACTTGTGGGCCCATTGGCAAGCTGGGACGCTTCACCAATACTTGACTCTCGCCGCTGCCGACCTCGATCTCATGCCTCGGTCCGGCCGCATGGCTCAGGCCGGCCACAGCTGCTTCAAAGATCGGTGGGCGGGCCTTCCCCGAGCGGCAAGACGACGACGACGACGACGACGACGACGACGATGGCGACGGGGCCGCTCTCTACGTGCAGCCGGTGGGTGCTGGCGGCGGCGGCGGCGGCGGCGCACCGCTTGCGGGGCCGGCCGCGCCCGGCCGCAGAGGGCCGCGCCCAACGAGCTCGCGGCGCGCGGTGTCGAGGCGGCGCTGCACCGACTCCTCGCCTCGGCGCGGCCAGGAGGAAGGAGGAGGAGGGAGGAGAGAGGAGGAGGAGAGAGGAGGAGGAGGAGGAGGAGGACGAGGAGGAGGAGGAGGAGGCGGAGGAGGAGGAGGAGAAGGAGGAGGAGGAGGAGGAGGGAGGAGGAGGAGGAGGAGGAGGCGCAGCGTCAGGGGGGGAGAGATCCCGAGGCTCCTCTACTCTATGGACGCCAGCTCGGTGGCCAGCAGGGCGGCTCGAGCCCTCTCCTCCAGGTCCACTTCTGGGACTCCGGCCTCGACGAGCTGCCGGTCAGCATGCAGAATACGGTGGAAATGGTAGCCGAATGTCAAATGTTTAAACCCAGCCCGGAGCTCCCCCGTTTTGCCGTCGAGACCATACTGCTTGAGGGGGTCCGACGGGTGATCGAAACCCTGGACGCGGGCAGTGCACCAGCTGAAGCGCCTACACGTCAAGTAGTGCTTCAAAGAATCCCGACTGCCATCGCCGCATCCCAGCAGACAGCCACCATCGGGGTTGGCTAGCCGTGTCGTAGTCACCCATCCCCACAACCACGACCGGATCACAGCGCACCGCCAACTGGGAGGGCAGCGCAACAGCTCCGCACGCACGAACTCGAAGCAGAACACATCCAGGGCTCCCTGGGGAATGGGAAACCACTAGAAAGCCTCGTCTTAAGAAGAGGTTCGAGCTCGAAGGGGAGGAGGTGGAGGTGGAGAGCAGAGGTGAGATTCGCCTGGAAATGTGGGCCATCTAGCGCGCGCGCCAGCGCCGAGGCCGCTGCGGCGGCCAAGGTTTTCCCCCCTTCTGGCCGCCTCTCGCAGCGAGCTCCAACGAGGCGGCGATCGGCGGTTCAGGCCACCAGGCCGGCGCGAGCCGGCCGCAGGACACCTCCGGCAGCGGGGGCGACCACCGAGCCAGCTCACGCAAGCGGGCCACCTGAGGAGACCACCCTGGGACCGTGCGCACGGCTGTGCGCATGAGGGCGGCTCGCTCTCTCACTGCGATGGGGACGAGGGGCGCGCCTCCCCACTCCAGCATGGCGAACCAGCCCGCGTTCGGGAGAGGGCTCGCGCTCGTCTTCATCAGGGATGCACTCCGGAATCGCTCGGACGTGGCGACCGCCAGAGGCACCTCGAAGAGCTGCACCTTGTAATCCAGCACCGGCGTCGCTCGGCTAGCGCACTGCTGGAG